ATGTTAAACTTTTAGGGATTACCTGGACCTAGAGGACAACGTGGACCACAGGGAGTGAAGGTAYACCCATCAATCATCCATCATCCATCATATTATTAGGAAAATATCTCAAGTTCGTTTGTTATTTATGAAGTATGTTTCTTTTAGGGAGATGCTGGTATTGATGGTCTTCTAGGTCCCAAGGGTGTCAAGGTAAAACTATTAGCATTTGTACTATCATGGGTTTGTTTGCTTTTGTTTTATTGTRCATAAATTACAGAATATTAAGCAAACTATATTTGCTATTTATTCTCCTTTTTTGTTGTTTTCCTTCATCTCTGTCTGCATTTCAAGCTGGCTCCATACATTCATACATCAGCATTAATCAGTCACCAGTATTGTCATTTATTGTAGTTACAATGTTCAGTTTATCAGTAATATGGTTAAAACTAATCTTGATACTTTTTAGGGGGAGGCTGGAAACCAAGGACAAACTGGTCCAAGAGGAGATGTGGTATGAACTATATGTTGTTTAATTCATTCAAGTATATCCCAATAATTTGGAGTCAGAAGCTTGAAAATGAGAAAATTTGTATTTGTTTGATGTTTTTCCTAGGGTATGGTTGGTCTTCCTGGACACTCTGGACATCATGGCGTGCCAGTAAGTATTGTTATTGTTTTGTTCCTGAGCTTTCAATGAACACATCAAAGTTTGCAAGAAGTGAATTTCTACAGTTTTTTGGTGCATCATTGAGACATGACATCTAACAAGAACATATATTTTTACATGTGTTGTGCAATGAACATGAAATTATCAACTCATTTAGGCCCAGGAGATGCACATCCCCACTACCCCTAAATCTGMCAATTCCATTCAGAAATAGATGACTAATTATTAATTATTTAGCATATTAATAAGCTTTGACCAAGTGTTACTATTTAATTAGGGTGTGAATGGCATGAGAGGACCAAAAGGGTTTTATGGAATTTGTGGATGCAAAGGAGAAATGGTAAGATAATATACATTTAAATATTATAGAAGAAATAGCAAATTCTGATAATTTTGTTGTTGTTGTTTTTGTTGTTGTTGTTGTTGTGGCTAGGGCCTAAGAGGCGCTAGCCATAATGTCATCACCCTTGAGTGAGTGTAATTCGGGAATAGCTTGTATTCCATTCAGTTCTTCTCGGGATAAGCTCGTATTTCCACTCGGTTTTCCTCTCGTTAGCAGTTGGAACAGTGGTTTGAACATTATTTGGAGAGATTCCGATGATGGAGGACCTACTACAAAAACCACRATAAAAGTAAATTTCAAACGTTAGAATACTATTCGGGTGGATGACGTATGTCAYTGACTTTTATCRACAACAACATTGAAGCTACGTTGTCACCATGTGCGAGTTTTACTTCTTGAACCAGACTCAAGTTTGGATATGTCTATCATCTGTTTGCTTTTAAGGAGTTTTTCAAGAATTTACGAAAAGTGTGCCGGGCTCAATTCAACATAGTTATTTCCCTCGCTGTATCCATCGTTTTATTTTGATTGACAAATAGATTTCCCTAAGGCACTGCCCTAATGGGAGCTTCAGGTGAACTCCTTATGGAGTGAAAAAAGTGCCTCACGGYAGCTATAGATGTGAAATTCCTCGAAATTGTCAAAACTATACTATAACTAAACATCTTGTAATCAAATGTATCTTTTATCCAACTGTTGAGTTATAGCATTTTTTGTTTTCAAATAAAGTTAAATGTGTGTGATTCTTGTTTACTGTAACTCATTGATTTCTAGTTTAATACTAGTTTCCATTATTATTGATTTTGAGAASRAATTCCAGTAGTCACATGTCTTCATRTATATTCAGTTTCTGTATGTGAAACTTTCATTTTATCATCCATATACTGATTAATATGTTATTTCTCTATTAAAACACACCTGACATTCTAGAGCAATTTACATAAGGGAAATCCTGATAAGCAAATATGTTTTACTCTCTCAATTTTTTTCCTTTTTTGCATTCTCAATAAAACTAAAGCTTATTATAGTCTAAGTTGATTGTTTATTTTTATACTAGCACTAGCCACATGCAGTCTTTGACTGCATATTTTTATACTTGTTGCACAATCTTGAAAAATGATACATTTAACAGGGTGAAGGTGGTTTGCAAGGTCCTGATGGTCCTCCTGGAGATCCTGGTGCTTCTGGAAATTTAGGCATTAAAGGAAAAAAGGTCAGTTCCTTTAACATGCAATGGCAAAAACAGTATCACATATAAGTATGATGTTTAGCTATTTTGAATTAATAGTGACTTACTATATAATTTGGTAGTTAAATTAGCTATTATGATGATTAATGAATTTTTTTTTTGTCAATATCTATTTTTATCTTTTTTCTTTTTCTCCCAATCATGCTGCTAAAGGATACCTTTACTTGTCTATTTTTATCTTTTTTCTTTTTCTCCCAATCATGCTGCTAGAGGATACCTTTACTTGTCTATTTTTATCTTTCATCTGTAAAGATGGATTTTCATGTTGTTTTTCCAGGGTGAACCTTATACGGGAGAAGATGTAACTATAACTGCCAAAGGGGAGCCAGTAAGTATCATTTCCAGTATCAATTCATAGTTCCGACAAATCAAACTCGTTATCCGCGCGCGCTGGATTGGCCAATCAAAATAGAGGACACGTAATGGCAGCCATGTTGTCCCCTTTTGATTCCCAAGACAAAAACTAGCCTAGAAAAATGCTTGAATTGGATCAAAATGTACGGAAAAAGCACGAAGTGTTCAAAGTAAAACTCATGAAAAATAATTAAATCATTTCTCTAGGCCTTTTTCAAATTGACATCAGATTGTTTTTAACAAAAGAAACAGAAAATTTATCGGAAATTCCATCGACAAATCGTCCGAAGAATGTCATTTACAAAAAATCAAAAGCATTTGTTATGTGGGTCATTTGTGGGACAAGCGGGAGCGTTCTATTCCMGCGCTTTCTTCTGATTGGATAATAGCACGCTCGCGCTTGATTTGTCGTATCTATGAATTACTTGCTTTTCTTGTTTCCTTACAAAAAAGRCTAATCAAGAACAACCTGAATGTTAAAACTATTTTAAGCTTTCAAAATTACTTATTCTTTAGTTTATTGTGTAGCCTAATCYAGACTTTATTTCCACTAGGGTGAAAGAGGACCCCGTGGGTCTCGTGGTCCTAAGGTATGTAAAGGGTATAGGGGGAATTACCATATGGTATTATGATAAAAGTGATAAATCCTAAYATTGCATATGTTTGTGGCTGTTTGCATGTGGTATTATTACATACCGTGTGGATTTGCTATGGTCATTTAGTCTTTGATGTTCTTTAAACTGCATTGCTGACAGCCCATGAAAAAGTGGTAACATTTATACTCCTCCACAGTTTTCATATTTTTGTGAAATATATTCAAGTTCATTCAAGTGGTAAATTTTCAAAGATTCAATTAGTCCATGCAGCACACAACTCAGATCTCAGATCAAGTTTTTGAATATGTTAACTTCCAGCACCATATATTAAGTATTACAATGAAAAGAAGCAATGAAAGGTTCACCAACATCTGTTATTTTTCTTAGGGACAAAGAGGTCCGAATGGTCCAGATGGTAGTGAGGTATTAACCCAATGGTAGACAATAAAATATTATTACAATTAGCAGTAGGTTGTATAAGCGTAGTTTATATTTTACATTAAATGTATGATTTAGACAGCTTTCTGCCTGATTTTATGCAGTATTGTAAGGATGACAACCATTTTTGACTGGATGTCACAATGACTGGTTTATTCAGTCCAGTAATTCATATAKTTTTTGTAGCATTATCATAACAGTTCACTGTTATTGTATTTAGGGTGAAAATGGTGCACAAGGGCCAAAGGTGAGAAATTAATGCATGTTTGAGGTTACTCTTTTAATATCTAATATGTTAATTGTCCATAATAGGGTTTATTGGGTGTTAGAGGATCCAAAGGTGAAAAGGTATGTTATCCTCACATTAACATGTGATAGACAGCTCTACATTATTTGCAAAACACCTTATGGATGTATGTTTATCAGGGAGAACCTGGTGGTCCTGCTGAGCCTGGTGATCCAGGAGAACCTGTAAGTATATCAATTATATTTTTTATTATTTCCATTGTGTTCTATACTCAGAGATTTATGGAATTTACGCTTTATCACTGAATGAAAGAATACATTATATCATTTTGAGGCTAAGCCAGTGAAAGAGGGACCACTTTTAAAGTCGTAAGCCCTGCTTTTTAATTTTGGCTTCAGTGGGAGATCACTAACAAAGGGTTTATTACATATTTTATTTATTCAGCTATTTTGATTTATCTTGACCAAAAGGAAGACTGTTTTTTTTTTCTTATATATATTAGACTCCAGTTCTAAATATTTATCATTGTATCCATGCTCTTCTACAAAGTTGAGTACTCTGTGATTTAAACCATTCTAGCATTCTAAGTGAGTCAAAGAAACCCTAACAAAAATTATTGCACATATGGGTATTCATTCATTACTTCATTCAAGAAATAATAACTATTTATATATCCAGGGTGAGCCTGGTGTTCCAGGAGAAGTAGGAGAACAAACTGGAGTAAACCCGGTAAGTAGACCTTCATTATAGACCAATGTAGAGGTGAAAAATAGGTGGTCTATATGGAATTGAAGAGCAAAAAAAACGTATTCTCAATTACATTTTCATTTGTTTTTCCAGGCAGAGAAAGGAGTGAAAGGTAGTAGGGGTAAAAAGGTATTTATCAGGGTGACCTAAATGAACTTGCTTTACTCATTCTATTGCATATTTTTAGCCGTAAAATGCAGTGGCATTTAGACTTATATTTCAATTTTAAGGGTGYACAGGGTATCAAAGGATTTCAAGGTGATAAAGGAGCCAATGGTGACAAGGGTGATATTGGATTTCCTGGAGAGAAAGGTAGACAAGGTGTAAAAGGAACAAAAGGTTCAAAGGTATGTATTTTACTAGCATTTCTAATTATTGTTATTGTGAAAAGTACTGGTTATCAGTTATATAATTTGTGCATGTTTTGGCATTAATTATCTTAGAGTTGCTAGAAAATGAACATCCAAAAAACACATGATCTCTAGAGTTAATTAAAGGAAGCCTGTATCCAAGAAAACTACAGACAGTGTTGGTCCAAAATCTAAATATTTTATAGGGCATTTAGTGAAACAATGTCATAGTTTGAGAAGATGCATCATAGAAGAAAGTAATATTCAATGGATAACTGTATCATAACATATTTATACAAATTGCAATACAAGTACCTATAAGTCTTTTACATTCATGGTTGTAATCTTTGTACATAATTTATGTTATTTTCAGGGTAGTGAAGGGGAAGATGGTCCTCAAGGACCTAAAGGAAAACCTGTATGTATATTATCAGACTGATTTTAGAAATAAGAATTACAGTGGTTACAGTAATTACAGAACTAGAAATAATAGAAATACATAGTGCTGGGAGGAGGGTGTGTTAATAAATTCAAATTTATTTTCATAAGTGTCTTGTATCACAGTGTGATGTATGATAATTAAATTCATGGAAGATCCTAAACAGCTTAATTATGAACTCTTTCTCTTTAGGGTGCAACTGGTCAACAAGGTGACGGAGGGATTGATGGCCCTAAAGGAAAAAATGTTTGTATATGAGTACTTTAAGTTGAATTCTACAGTATTTGTTAGTAATGTTTAAATCTTATAAATCTTATAGGGACAACGAGGCAAACCAGGGCCACAGGGATACCCTGGAACTATAGGTGAACGTGGGGTAAGTATCAGGTAGTATAAAATTAGTAATTTGTACAAATAGATGGAAGACAACATCAATGTTTGTGGTAATTATAGAAAGGGATACAAGGACCCAAAGGTCCACCTGGTAAAATAGGTGAAGTTGGGCCACCTGGGGGTCGTGGTGAAGTTGGTCCTCCAGGGGAAAAAGGACTAGATGGTAATCCTGGTATTGGTGCATTTGGTCCTGATGGTGAAGGAGGAGACAAGGGAGCTCCTGGTCCAGATGGTCCCCCAGGAGCACCAGGTAGTCAATATGTCTTTATAGATGATCATCATGTAGAGAATTTTAAATACAGTAAAGCTAATTACTTTGTAAAGTGTCTTCTCTTTTTTCAACCAATTTTACTATTTCATACAAGTTATACCATTTCAGTCAAAGCTAGATTTGATGTAATCATATGAATGTATGAGATTTATTTTTCTTTTGATAATATTTTGTACCATTTATGCTAATTCTAAGCAGCTGTTTTGCACAATTTAAATATTAGTGTTTAAAGAAAGCACTCTATTCTATGATCTTATTTATTAAAAGTATTTCTTACTGGAGTAAGTTAATGAAGTGTGATAATGATTTTTGATAAGCAGTTGTTTGGAAAAACATGAAATAATCAAATTTAAAGAAACAATTGTTCTCCATTACAATGCATTATGCTAATGATGATCCTATATATTTGTACTTATTATCATTCATTTTGTATCGCTTGATAATGGAGTCACAATGACCCCAAAACGTCGTGAATTAAATCAACTACATATACGTTTCGTTTTTTTTTTAATTTGATAATAATTTTGTATGAGAATGTATTAATATATTAATGAATCTTTTGACTCTAGGCAATAAATTGACAAAAACAACTTACAATTTGAATAACAAAATAATCAAAATTAAATAATTAATTCTCAAATATTTAGGAATGATTGGCATGGCAGGGGCTATGGGAAATAAGGGAGACACTGGTTCACCTGGTCCTAGAGGTGAGCGAGGAAAAGTGGGACGAGGTATTCCAGGACCTCCAGGATTAAATGGTCCTCCAGGTGAARAAGGTTTAAAGGGTTCCAGAGGTGATCCAGGTCCACAAGGTCGTAAAGGTTTGTAACCTGGTTTGCTTTTTACATGCTGAACTTGCAGTATTTCAAATATGTTCATTAAAATCATARTCTACAAAAAGATATTGAAAGAAGGAAAACAATAACCTTAGAATTTCTTTACTCAGGACTTAGACTTTCATTATTGATTTTATGAATTGTTATTACCACTAGGGTGGTACAGTTTTTGACATTTTAAAACTCTTACTGTGTTTCAGCGGAGCCAGTGGAATGTCCAGAAAATGTCTGCCCAGAGCCTCTCAAGGGAAGGAAAGGTATTTTTGGAGATTCTGGAGATCAAGGACCAGAGGGYAAACAAGKCCCAAAAGGTTTAAAAGGTGAAAGAGACACCTGCCCCAYTTGTAAAGATGGTGATAGAGGGGATAAAGGTGACAGTGGCAATGATGGCCCACCTGGAAAAAAGGGTGAAAATGGTATATTAGGCCCAAATGGACGTGTTGGACCTCCTGGAAAACCTGGTATTGATGGTACTGATGGCATTCCTGGAAGAACTGTGAGTAGTTATTATTAGATTATTAGTATTAAGTAGTTAGATCTTATTGTTTTGTGTATGGCTGTGTTCATACCAGCAGAGTTAGATTGATCGTGACCGGTTCAGACCGGTTCAGTTTTGTTCGCATTACGAATTAGTCGGATCTCGACCAGTTCAAAGTAGACCGATTCAAAACCTGTTCTACTTCTGTTCGAACTARACTAAACTGATTCAACTGCAAATGTGAACACCTGAATCAGTCGAGATTGGTCTTGAGCGCGAGCCGGCTTTTTATYGACTGAGTTAACTGCCACTTTTTACTGTGCGAGCCTGCCGGAAGTGATATTGAGGGTTTAAAATATTTTTATCCTATTTCTATGACAACCTTTGAGTATTTGTAGTTGCTGGTTTTTAGTCTTTTTGTTATGGCCAAGCGAGGAGAAATGTGGGGTTTCAAAGAAACCAGCATTTTAATAGATTYATGGGYGGATGGAAAATTCAAGCCCAATTAAATGATTCCCCAAGAGAAAAAAATTTTTYRAGGATATAGTCRCCAAAATAAAARAAACAATGCTAGAAAAGGTCAAAAAGGCTCCATCAAGCCGTTGCTTGCATACGTATAGTAAAGTAACAGTGATTTARTAGTAAGCATACATTTGTGTGATTTGTGTCAGTTTACAGCCGGAATTCTTAACTAAAAGATGAAATAGTGAAATAGATAGAATTAGATTGAAATAGATTGAATTGAAGATTCGAAATCCATGCTCTTGCTAAAGTCTCCGCTGTCCAAGGCCAATTCAGTCCTTATATATAGTCTGAACGCTGAAACCAATTACGATTGGTTTAGTTCGATTTAAACCGTCTAATTAGAATTAATGTGAAAGGAATGGGTCTAATTTTAGATCGAACTAAAAAGTAGTTCAGTCGCGATCAATCTAGGTGTGAACACAACCTTAATGTGAACAGAGCCAGTGTAATATGGTCGCAATCAATCTAGGTGTGAACACAGCCTTAATGTGAACAGAGCCGGTGTAATATGGTCGCAATCAATCTAGGTGTGAACACAGCCTTAATGTGAACAGAGCCGGTGTAATATGGTCGCAATCAATCTAGGTGTGAACACAGCCTTAATGTGAACAGAGCCGGTGTAATATGGTCGCAATCAATCTAGGTGTGAACACAGCCTTAATGTGAACAGAGCCGGTGTAATATGGTCGCAATCAATCTAGGTGTGAACACAGCCTTAATGTGAACAGAGCCGGTGTAATATGGTCGCAANTCTCTATTTCACCACAATCTACATTTGTTACATTTCTAGGGTCAAAAGGGGGTTCCTGGAACCCCTGGTTTTCCTGGGAGGAAGGGTGAACCTGGAGAAACAAGAGAAGAGGTTGGCAGGGGTGAAAAGGGTTTACCAGGAGAAGSAGGTCCTATTGGTGTTAAAGGAAGTCAAGGCCCTCCAGGAAGTTCTGGCSTTCAAGGAGAATTTGGATCGCGTGGTGCAATAGGAAAGCCTGGAGAACCTGTAAGTTGTTTTGCTCTCTATACATCAATACTGTAATCTCAATACTGTAATGCTTAATTTCTCCAAAGAAAGGTTTCCTTATTTCATTAAAGCATATGTTCTTGTTTTTACATTTCTAAATGTTAAGTATTCCATGGCTATTTTGTAATTTTGTGCTCCAGGGAGACCCAGGTAAAAATGGTATTCCAGGTAATCCAGGRGAGCAAGGTGCAAAGGGAAGACAAGGTTTAAAGGGTGAACCACCCACAATTGTAACACCAGAGGGGCCACTAGGTGAGAAAGGAGACCCAGGTGACAGTGGAAATACTGGTGATATCGGTGAACCTGGAGAGAAGGGCCAGAAAGGCAGTGGTCCCCCACCTGGAGGTGAGGAAGATATATTATAATGCACCACATTTTATTGGATAAAAATCTTAAGCTTGATGAGACACCACCAGCTGAGACTTTAAGGGATAGAGAATAATCACTTGTAAGATACTTTATTTTCTGATTTTCCCATTATTTCTTTATCTGATGCTTTTGTTGCAGTCTGATTTTTGTGCATTTCATATGTTTGATAGGCATGTTCTAACAGGCACTTTAAGAGCTCACACATTTGGGCCTGGGTCCAAGTCAGGCTCCTCATATGTTGTCTTTGTAATTTAGTAGTTCATGGAAACAAGTTTATACAAGAAACAAAAGAAGACTTTAAACAACTCATACATAATTAATGAGCTACTAGGCCAATGGAATGAGCCTATTTGGTCACATGCATGGACCTTTATATCTGATAAAACACTCCTTATTTGTATTCTTTATATAAAGAATACTAATAAGGGTGACCTTTATCAGATATAAAGGTCCATGACCCTAGCAAAGGTCTCAGGTTTGAAACCTGATCATTGACCAATGCAGGATGTCAACCGATTTCAGTGAACAGGCAAGAGCGGTTCTATTTTACTTTATGCGTATTCAATGTGGGATGACAAGCGTGCTTTGTAAAGTGATTCGCGCATGATCAGTTTGCCCCATTTATCTCTGAACATATTTGTACGGCAATTTCT